AAATCACTCCTCCAAGGAGCTCAGATTCTTCCTTTGTAGGAAAGTCAATATTCATTCCCTCATTCAGAAGTATTATGGATTGTCTTGGAGCATGCTATAGTTTAGGTAAGAACAAATCAAGTTAGAATCATCATACTTGGTAAGAGGAGATGCACAAATAATGCCCTTTATCTTACATGGTCCTTTTAGACAGAACTGTGATTAAGTGCTTGGACCTCTAGAGCCAGGCCACCTGACTTAAAAATCTAGCTGTCAGTTAAAGTCTATGTGGTATTGAGCTAGTCACAGAGCCTCCTTAAAGCCTTCTGTTTCCCATCTATTAGATGGGGATAGTATCTCATGCGGTTGCTGTGAAGACTACAGGTATGTGTAAAGTATTTGGAAGAGGACCTATGTAAGTATTAGTTGTCACTATTGTGATACAGATTTACCAAGTGCTGAAACAGTTGCCAATTCTTAACTATAACAAGTAGCAAAGGATGGTAAGTGCTCTATAAGTTTTTGTTGAACAGAACTTCCTAGAAGCCGTGTGTTTCTCTGTAGATATGTCTACAGTAGACTCAGATTCCTTTTCCATCATATTTCTTCATTCTGAACCCAGCGTCAAATCAGTTGTCCTTTGCTGCCTCTGTTCTGTTTTTTGTGGAAAAGGAGAGGCTGATGGGCTGACTTTTTTTGTTTTTACATTGTAGATGATCAGTTATTTTTCATTACTTATCACTGGTAGACTTCTTACTAATTTTATCCATGCTATAGTCTGAATATTGTGTCCCCCCGCCCCTCCATTTTATATGTTGAAATCCTAACCCCTAAATTGATGGTATTAGGAGGTGGTTCCTTTGGGAGGCATTAGGTCATGATGGCAGAGCCTTCATGAATGGGATTAGTGGCCTTAAAAAGGAGGCCTGAGAGAGACCTTCACTCCTTCTTCCACTATATGAAGATACAGCAAGAAGTCACCCTCTATGAACCAGAAAGAAGGCACGCGCGCGCGCGCGCACGCACACACACACACACACACACACACACACACACAGATGTGGAATCTGCTGTTGCTTTGAACTTCCTAGCTCCCAGACTGTACGAATTTTTTATTTTTTATTTTTGTTTTGAGACAGAGCCTCACTCTGTCACCCAGGCTGGAGTGCAGTGGCATGATCTTGGCTCATTGCAACCTCCACCTCCTGGGTTCAAGTGATTCTCCTGCCTCAGCCTCCAGAGTAGCTGGGATTACAGGTGTCTGACACCACTCATAGCTAATTTTTTTATTTTTAGTAGAGACAGGGTTTCACCATGTTGGCCAGGCAGGTCTCAAACTCCTGACCTCAGGTGATCCTCCAGCCTGGGTCTTCCAAAGTGCTGGGATGACAGACATAAACCACCACGCCCAGCCAATTTCTGTTGCTTATAAGCCACCCAGCTTATGGTATTTTGTTATAACAGCCTGAATATACTCTAAAACAATCCTTTAAATTTTTAAAATTACGTTTCTGATTATCAAAGTAATATGTGCTCAATATAAAAACAATTCAAACATACAGAACTTAACGAAAGGCCCAGTAATCCCACACCCAGAGATAATCACCATTAACATCCTGTTATATATGCTTCCAGATTTCTTCTGAAGCATACATTTAATAACATGTATATCTTAATGCAAAAAAATACAAAAAAATGGAATCATACTATTCATATTGTTCTGCAGCCTTTTTTTTTTTTTTTTCTTTTCGCTTACAGATTTTGGACATTCTTCCATGTAGGTACAAATAGATCTAGCTTATTTTTGTTCATGGCTGCTTATGGTTTCCTTCTACAGATCTAGCAAAAATTGCTTAAACAGTTTCCTACTGGGACTTTATTATTTGATTTTTACACCATTACATGTTTCCACTATTACAAACAATGCTGCAATAAGACACGTATATACGTATTTTTGTACATGTGTAAATATTTCTGATATAACTTTTGCACATATATGCTTAAAGTGCAAACCCTTACACATGCAATTACCTGTTCAAAGGGAACACACCTATTTATCTAAAATTTCCAAATGTCCTCCAAAGGGATTGTCCAATTTCCTCTTACTTTTACAAGTGTGTGAGAATGTCTATTTCTCCACATTTGACTGTTTTCTGAATATCACTTTTTTCTTTTCTCAATTTATACCAATCTTGAAATCATGTTTTTCAAATCTAGAATCACAATTTAAAACCCAGGGAAGATCAAAAGAACAAAGTACAGAAGACTGGGGTTTTGTTTGTTTGTTTGTTTGTTTTGAGACGGAGTCTCACTCTGTTGCCCAGACTGGAGTGCAGTGGCACCATGTCAGCTCACTGCAACCTCCACCTCCCGGGTTCAATCAATTCTCCTGCCTCAGCCTCCTGAGTAGCTGGGATCACAGGTGCGTGCCACCACGCCCAGCTAATTTTTGTATTTTTAGTAGACACGGGTTTTCACCATGTTGGTTAGGCTGGTCTCGAACTCCTGACCTCGTGACCCTCCCGCCTCAGCCTCCCAAAGTACCGGGATTACAGGTGTGAACCACCGCGCCGGGCCTACAATTTTTTTATTTTTATTTTTATTTTTTACAAACAGCAACACATTCCAAATTCATTATAATAGTGGGCTGTTTTCAATCAAAATATCACACCACTAGTTGTTAAGTTTTAAAAGACCTCTCATCTCTTAGATCAGCAAACCTGACACTGATTAGATCACTTACACACACTCTCTGTCCACACACCTCCTTCTTGGCAGTGTGTGGAACAGGAGTGGCTGCTGGCAAGGAGGGATGGGGAAGGAAAGTGAGAGCAAAAGGGCCGAGGGCTCGGAATCCGGTGTCATCTTGTAACGAGTCTCGGACGGTCCCTTGAGTGTATTCTGGACCTCTCTGTTCATGTTCCTGTTTGGGCTGCTCTTCATGTCCAATGCCTGATGGCCAAGTGCTCACCATCCAAGGGTCAATTCTATCACCTCTCTGAATCCTTTTCTGAAACCCTAGAAAATTATTCTCTTTAATGTCTCACTATCTCTGAACCGACACCTTCCTGAGTACCTGTAACATTTGTGCAGCATGCTTATAAGAATATTTAGATGCTGGGTAAACGTTGATTGAACATTTGCTGACATGGAGAGACATTGGTAGAAGACAGATTAGACTTCCCATGGTTTACAGAAACACATGGATTCAGATAAAAGAAGGTACTAAAGCACTGGGTTGAACCACATATTTTGTTACAACCAGATAATTCCAAATATCTCGCCTTAATTTATTTCTTGGCCCCTGCCTCCGCTCACCCACAAAAAAGACTGCAAATGAACCTTGATCCTACAACAACAACAGCAAAAAAGGGTGACACTATCGGGCTGCAAAACTCTCTTAGCATAGAACAATCTTTCATCTGCCTTTTTCAGATGTAAGATATTTTTGACGAAAAGAATGGGATGAAAGGGGCGGACTCAGATAAAAACGAGAGCCGACTTTCCAATACAGCTTCAATAGCAGACGGAACACATGAAGCTGAGAAACTATCCATGCCAAGTAGTTGTGTGTGCCCCAAAGCTCAGAAAAATACTTTCTCCTTAGAGTTGGAAGGCGCTTAAGTGACTTTGTAGTGTAATTCAATCCCCCCAACCCCAGCGCCAAGTCTTAATAGCAGAGTTTTAGTCGACGGGACCGACTCCTTCGCCCAGGACGGGTGAAGGTTCCTGAGCTTGCCTCGCAGCTGATTGGCAGCGGCGCCTGCCCGGCACCGAACCCTGCCCAGGTGGGCGCTTGACAAAGCATTACGGCGATGGTGATGTAGGCTGCCGTTCTTCCCCTCCCAAGCACCTGCTCAGCATCTAGCAGTCGCTCGCCGCCAGTCTCCAACCCCGGGCCACCTCCCTCGCCACACAGACCCGGTCCGGTCAGGCGCTGCAGGGCGACCGGAGAAAGTGCTCGCAATCACATGGAGGCCCGGGCCCGCCCCATTGGCTGCGGCCGGGCCAGTCGCGGCGCTCGCCGGCTGCGGTTGGTCCCAGAGCTGCAGCGCCTGCACTGGCCCGGAGTCCATGTTACGCTTTGTCTAATTCCCCTCGTTACAGAGTCATGTGCTGCTGCTCCCGTCGCCGCTGCTGCCGCTGCCGCCGCCCGTGGTGCCCCGGCTCCTCCGCCGCGCTTCGAGGTGGCAACCGCGGGCGGGGTCGCGGGAGCAGGGTACAGGGCGCAGCGCGCCTTCGCCGCCCCGGCGCGTCCCGGTGCAGCCGCCGCCCGCCGCGGGTGATGCCGCCACCTCCGGCCTCAGCATAAGCCGTGGCTCGGCGGCCGAGCTGCCCCCCAAGGTTGGTGCGCACCTCTCCGGGGAGGGGCCGGGGGCTGCGAGGGAAGGCGACGCGCAGGTGGAGCCGCGCCGAGCCGAAGCGCGCAACCCTGGCGCAGGCGCCGCGGCCCGAGCTGAGGTTGCGGCCGGGAACTCATTCGGGGACGTCCGGGGGTTGCGAGGAGGTGGTGGCGAGCGGAGTGGGCTCCCGTTTGCTGCCCCTGGGGCCTGGGAGATTGTTCCGCTTTCTGCAGTCTGAGCGTCGGCCGCTTCGGCCCCGGGCTGCTAGCCCTGCGGGAGGGGAGTGCGGTTGCCTGGCTCCTGGACCCGTCGCGCGCTCTCCTTTCTCTTGCCTCCCTCCGCCCAGTCCGAAAGGCGGGGAGAGGTGGTTTCGGCTCCGCTGGTTCCTCCCGGAGGTGGGTGTTTGGTGTCTGGCCTTGCTGCCCCGGTGTCCATAAGGTGAGCCCTTTAACTTCTCCAGAATCGCCTCTCCTTCGCTTCCTTCCTGTGCCGGGTGGGCTGCGCTGGGAGCCCAGCGGGCGGGGGCAGGGAGGTGAAGGCCGGCGCCCCGCCCCCGGCGCCTGTGGGAGGGAGCTGGGGGCCCGCAGGTGCACCCAGCCGGCCGCGGGCCATCTCCGGGTTGGGTACCGGTATAATCCGCTTCTAGCTTGTTTGGAGGCGTGGGCTCTTGGGAGCGGGACTTCTGCTCAAATCCTGTTCAGGAGCTTGGAAAGGAGGAGAATTGGGGGTGGTTGCCAGGAAGACCAGCACCTCCGGTTACTAGAGGGTTTATAGGGGCCTTCTCCTTTCTGTACCCCTTTACTAGGGAGTATCCCTTGCAGATAAATGAGATTTTTTGATTTCTTAAAAAGCCAGCTGCAGCGAAGAAGAACTGCTGCAGGTCGAGGGGAAGAGAGGTAGGTCCTTGCTGGAGAGGGAGACGTGGGCTCTGAGGTCCCAGGAGCACGCAGTTGGGGTGAGTGTGGCCGAAAGTGTAGAGGTAGGGTTGTGGGAAAGAAACAGCCGAGGTGAGAGGGAGGGCGCACTCAGGATGTAGTCGGAGAGATGGGGAATAGGTACGGGGGAGTCCTAGCGGAATGTGGGGCCCAGCTGGAGCCGCTTGGGCTTATATTTGGCTCCTCGTTGCCTCGCAGATTTCTTGCTCTTGGATCTTGAAAAATATTTTTTGTTGGACAAAGAAAACTTTGAGGACATATTTTGGAAGAGAGAGAGGACTAAAGAGCTGACTTCTGGAAACTTTCCTTGGCAGCTTTGGTAGTAAAACTCCGTTCAGGCAGCGTTTATTGAGCACCTATTACGTGGTTTGTACTGGACTTTGGAAGAGTCTGGACAGGCAGGGAATTCCCGTTTGCAGTAATGGTGAGGGCTGTCTACCTTATAAACAACCAAGGGGCCCCTCCCAGTGCCAAGAGTGAGAGTGATTCACACCTTCCTCGCCAAAGCATCTGGGACCTCTGCTTCTTACCTGTCGGAAGAACCCTGCACCATATCCCATAAATGGGGTGTGCAGGCAGCATTTATTTTCACAGTCCAAAAATAGTGACCAAACTCCTACTGTCAGCTAGGTCAGAGTTGGGGTTCTTGCTTCACCTGTCTTGACACCAACTAACTAAATCCCTGTTAAGATCCAAGTGCAAGATGGGGAAGAATCTGAGATGAAAATTAGGTGGTTAAAACAGGGGTCACGAAAGTTGATTTGGGGTGTTTGATCTCTGTAGGTTACTTATGGAGCCCCCCATAAAATGATTAGGTAATCTATGGAGCCAGGGAAAAATTCCAAAATCTTGAATTGGCACAGTTTATTTACATATTTGAACACTTTGTATTAGATTTGTCTCGTTTTTATTTAGGGTGTATGTGTGCGTGTTGATTAAAACCTAACAGATTAGAAGGTTGGAGAGGAAACTGTCCTTAGATGACCCAGCCTTCCATTACCATGTGGAGTAGCATATGATGCAACAGTTAAAGTATTGAGCCATATTCATATCGTTTTCTCCCTGCTGTGTTTTCCAGCATTTAAAAAACGTGATAAAAACTTAGCCCCTTTTTTCCTCAAAATCGCTAAAGTTTAATGGAAAAAAAAGAAAAAAGAAACTAGGCCCCCTTTTCCCTTAATTTTTATATTATGCAGAGTTTTAAAAAAATAATTTTAGAAAATTCTGATGTGTTTGTCATGTCCAAATAGTTAAATTGTTTTGGTAGCTATAGTTTGGAAATTAGACTTGATTCCTTTCTCAGTACTGCCGACAAAATAGCTATTAAAGTCAAAAGTTTGTCCCAACTTTGTAATCATGATTATTATGTTGTTGAAGTGGTAGCTTGTAAGGGATTTCAGTTATTTTTAATTGGAGCTGGTGTTTGACATTCTAAGAAACACCAGTTAATATTTGTTGAGTGCCAGCAGGAAGCAGAGAACTGGAGTGGGTGCTGTGGGATCTTAACAAGGCAGGAGAGGATTCTCGTAGTAATCACAGAGAGCAGATAAGACAGGCACACATGAGGATGCCAGCAGAAGCAGATAGTTAGAGTTGTCTAAGAATCCAGGGTGTGTGGAACCAGATGAAAGTGTATGAAGTATGTTGAGGGAGGAGTGGAAATCTGAATTGACTTTTGACAGTGGTCAGGGAGGGGGAACAGAATATATGACTAATAAAGGAGGGTAGAGGGAACCTAGTTAGTGAAAAACTTAACCACAAGTCAGTGGTGTTAATCATTTGCCTCAAGACCAGTGGCTCTCAGAAGTAGGCAGTTTTGCTTCTCAGCAGACCTTGAGGAATGTTGGAGACATTTATGGTTATCATAGCTAGGCGGCAGGTGCTGCTGTTATCTAGTGGCTAGAGGACAGGGATGCTACATAAGCATCCTACTGTGCACAGGACATCAACCCCCTTCCTCCTAAACAAAGAATGATCCTGTCCAAAATGGCGATAGTGCCTGCCCTTAGACCTCAGAATAGGTCTTAAAGGGAGGTGGTTCTTGACATGGGAGGAATAATAACATTGAGCTTAGGAAGCTGATGTGGGAGACTTCTGTGATCAGGTCTGATGTGATTAGGGTCTGGGCAAATCATTATTGAAAGAAAGGGGCAGTTTGGAGGGAGATCGTAGCAGATGAACACAGTATGATAGTGGAGTAAGTTGGGAATCATAGAATCAGAATTGGCATTTTAGAGGGGCCCTATCCAATTTATTGATTTTAATAAATTCTTACCCTTTCTAGGTAACCTTTGTTTAAATAACCCCAGGAACTGTGAACTTCTTCTCCTGAAGACAGGTTATTACACCTTTGGACTGTTTGTTGTATTATTACTTGAGCTGAAGGCTGTCTCCTTGAATTTTTTTTTTCCAATGATTTTATTCTTTTCGAGCTGCCTACTCTCTTTGAATGCACCAAGAGAATATGATGTCCCCTTACCCCCAGTTGATTTTCCTAATGCAAACTAGTCCCAATTCTTTTCACAGTCTTTTATTGGGATGTGGTTTCTCGATGTCTTCTCAGTTTATCAGCATCGCACATGGAGAATCTGGAATTGAATATGTAATTGAGATGTGATCTGGCCAACAGAGAGTACAGTAAGACGGCTGTCTGCTGAGACCTAGACATAAATGTCTACTTACTGCACCTTAAGCTTACAACTGCCTTTGGTTTTCTTAGGCAGTGCTGAGCACCAACTTCTTTATTAGATAATCATGTTTTGGATGGTCAAAACCCCCAGATACTTGCTCTGTGAGCTGTTGCATCCTGTATTTCTTCAGCAGATTTTTTTTGGAGAAGTTTTTGTTGTTGTTCCTTCTCAATGTTATCCTGTTTATTTTGATCCAATCTTCTAGCCTTTGACATTTTTGAATTTATGTCTTCTAATTATATGAGAGAGGAATGGAGGATGACTTTGTTGAAAATGGTAGTCAGTCAGTACTATGTAAAACTCAGTAGTTTGGGGGCACTGTTGGTCCTGTGTGAGAGCTGGGATCACTGAGTGATGGAGGTGAGTTCTAGGGCTAATTAGCCCTTATTTTGGGGGCTTTTGAGAAATCTAAATGCCAGGCCACATGGCATTCAGCTCTTGAAATGTTTGCACCTGTGGTACCATTTTGAAATTGTTTGAGTCTGTTGCAAGCTTCTGAAATCTGAATTCCTTCCTCTGGGTCTTTGTAGTTCTGTTTATGTATCTGGAAGAGAGTTTCTAACGTTTTGTGCAAATCTGAAGCTTGCGGGGTTCGAGTTGCTTTTGAAAATTGTGAGAAGGTAGGATAACTGGCAAAAATCAACTATGGACTTGGTTCCCACTCAGGCTAAGCTTTGTTTTCTTTTTTGCTAATATGCCTCAAATATTTAGTGACAGACTTATATTTAGGGAAGGAGAGAGGATTGAGGTTTAGAAACAAACCTTTTTCTCAGAGCTTGGCTTTAACTTGTCATTGATGTAAGTTCATACTTGATTTTACAGTCTTCACTGCAAAGACATTAGGAAATTACCATTCCCAGATGTCTTCTGAAGCTGGCAGGTAAGAAATCCCAGGTAACTTAGTGCCAAGTTCTCCAAATACTCTAGCTCTATCCAATGAACTAGATTTAATAAATTACTTGATTTGGGTGGTAGCTATCTCACAGTGTTGAGGGAGAGCTGGAGGAAGAATTCAAATCTCATGGCCAATGTGTGTGACCTCTTTGTGATGAACGTCCATTGTGCCCCAATCCTCTGCTAGTGTGTTGGCTGTCCAGATGGTGCAGTCTACTTGGTTTCCCTTCTCTACCAGTCCATATGGGAAACCTCTTTATCTCCTCTGGAGATGAAGGATAATCCAATGAAAAGAAGGGATGCCTTCTGAATATTTGAGGTTTTTTGAGGGGAAAAGTATTGCTGTCCTTTTATATTTTCGAAGGCTGTGTCGAAGTTGAAGTCTTAGAATTAAGGATGCAGTTGTGTCATTTTGAATAGAAAGACTATTACAGCTGGAAGGGATTAACCCTTAAATTTTATAGTTGAGCATATCCAGGCACAGGGAGGTGATGTGATTAGCTTAAGTTTACACATGTAGTGACAGAGTAGGCATTAGAATCTATCTGCCTTAAAGACCAACAATAAAGGCTAAGGATCAGGATTTCTTCTCTGCTTAGAGGTGTGTAAACAGTGGGGTCCCTTGGGTCTTATTTATATAATTGATCTAAAAGAAGGAGCACACAGTGGAGTTTCTAAGTTTGCAGATGACAGCTTTTCTGGATTATGAAATGTCTAACCACTGGGGATTTGCTCCAGGGAAACCACACTAGGATGTATTAGTCATCAGAAGATTTGCAGGTGAGTTTCTTGTTGGCTAATAGGTGGTTGGGTATTAAGGGGAAATTATAGAATTTTCATAGGATGGTGTTTTGTTGGATAAACTCAGGGAAGGGCTTTGAAAATACCTTCATGTTGTTGTCCTGACTTGCTGTTGCAGAAAAACAAAAACCATGAAATGCTAGGCTTCATCAAAAAGATTTTGGGGTTGGGCATGGTGGTTCACTCCTGTAATCCCGCAGTTTGGGAGGCTGAGGTGGGCAGATCACCTAAGGTCAGGAATTTGTGACCAGCCTGGCCAACGTGGTGAAACCCCGTCTCTACTAAAAATTAAAAAATTAACCGGATGTGGTGGTGGTGCCTGTAATCCCAGCTACTCTGGAGGTTGAGGCAGGAGAATCACTTGAACTTGGTCGGCGGAGTTTTCAGTGAGCTGAGATCGTGCCATTGCACTCCAGCCTGGGCGACAGAGTGAGACTCTGTCTCAAAAAATAAAAAAAAAGATTTTGGAAAAAAAAAACCAAAATGGAAAATACAGTCTTAATTGAGTTTTCACAGTGTGTTTTTTCCCCCGAAGTCATGGGCACCTAACCTTCAGAAAGACACTCGAGCTGGAATGACCATTGTAATGATACCTGGAATATTTGGACATTGCTGCTAGAATGTAAGCTTCATGAGGACAGGGTCCTTGCTCATCTGTTTCTCTGATAGAAATATCAGGATTTCTAGCACCTGGAAAGAGTCATCTGAGAGGAGATGGCATGGAGGTCTGTGAAGCCACAAGGATAGGGCCATAGGCAGCCTTGGTAGTTCACTTTATTCTAATAAGTTCGAGTGTGCTATTTTAGTTGCCTCCTTGTCTTCATGCTCCAGCACTCTGTCAGTGTGGTGAGGGTAGGGATTTATCTCTCTTGTTCTCTACTGATTTTCTAGTGCCTTGCACATGGCAGACCCTCTATTAGTATTTGTCACCCAGAGGAATGAATGAAGAGTTATACCTTAAAGCTTTATAAGATATAAATTCAGGATGAATGCCAAGAAATATGGTTTTTCTCAGCCCTGGCTGGCATCAGAATCAGTCTGGGGAATATTTTTAAAATACGTATATTCAGACCCTTCCCCATGCCTATTGAATCAGAATCTGTGGATATGGAGTTTAGTTTTGAAAAGAGCCCACCCTGCCTCCAAGTAATTCTCACATGCAGCTCGGCTCAGAACCACCGTCTTAGTAGTTGTGCACGAAGGCTGGATGCTGACTGAACACACCTTCAAATGGGTTTGAAACATTTGTGGCCAGCGAGCCCATCATTGGTTATTAAGACAAAAGAGAAGCTTTAAGGATATGTCAGTCTTCTTGGAAGGTGTAGTGACCCAAACAGCACATAGTCCACCATGGCCCTTGGTTCCTCTGTGAGATAGTGCAGCCCGGGCCGGATGGGCGATGGGACCAACTCCCAGTTCATCCTTGAGCAGTCGTTTCCAGAGTGGGTCCTTGATGACAGTTTCACCAGCCCATGAAAAAGTGAGAAGAGTAAAGACAATGCAACAAGCTTTTCTGTTTCAACTTTAGTGCTAAGTTTATTCAATTACAAGAGTCTGTTTTTTTGTTTTGTTTTGCTTTTGTTTTGTTTAATCTTGGGTTGTCCTTCCTACTGGAGGGTTGGCTTGTTTTTTCATGTTATGAAAGGCTGGTGATGGTTTTTTGGTGTCATTTCTAAGTCCAGTTTTAAGCTGGCAATTTTATGATAGTCTTTCTTTTGACATTTTACTGGCCCGTGAAATCAAAAGTCTGGGAACTACTACTCCCCTGAGGTTTTCAAGAGGTCTGTATCTACCCCTTGACACCTGCTATTGGGGAACGCTCATAAATATGGTGTTAGGTTCCATTACAAGCATTTTTTTTAAACAATTTTTTCTTTCCTGTTATGCTTGCTGGTAATAGTTAGGAATAGTGCCAGAGAAAGCTTCACTTCCCCAGCAACGCATAAATCCCATTGCTACATATTAGCATCAACAGATAGCCAGCACTGCAACGAGTTCTACAGAACAAGGAGAAGAAAGGATGTACAAGAGGACACCTTTTTCTCTGATGGTCATTGGCCACCAGAAAGGTGTGTCTCAAAATCTCTCGCGCTATAGAGACAGGACAGAACTCTTCAGACCGGGTATAAAATGCCATCAGTCAAAATTCTCTTCACTGATTGCTTACAACCGAATTTTAAGAAATACTAGAAAATTAAAATTCTTGGAAAAATGGTCCCCCGGATGCTTGCAGTGGCACTGTGCTGAACAGGCTTTTAAAATCAGTGTATTCTCAGATATGGCTACTTTTTTGTTTTTGTATTTAACTTATCTGGTTAAGAAGTACTTGGACAATGTATAGAACACCTAAAGTTATTAATAACAACAGCTATTTATTAGGCACTTATTGGTTGTCCAAACCTATGCCCTGGAATTTACATGTATTCTCATATATCCTCAAAAGAATTCTGAGTGAAAGGTAGACTTATTCCCACTGTACAAATGAGGTCATAAGGCTGGAGACGTTATGTAATTTACAACAACGTCACACAGAAGTGGCGGAGGTGGAATTTGAAACCAGACTCATTTTATACCAGACTTTTATATTTTAAACCAGACCTCTAAATATTTTGTAATATATACCTATTCTCTCTTTTTTTTTTTTTTGAGATGGAGTCTCACTCTGTTGCCCAGGCTGGAGTGCAGTGGCGCGATCTCAGCTCACTGCAAGCTCCGCCTGCTGGGTTCACGCCATTCTCCTGCCTCAACCTCCCAAGTAACTGGGACTACAGGCGCCTGCCACCACACCCAGCTAATTGTTTTTTTTTTTTTGTATTTTTAGTAGAGACGGGGTTTCACCGTTAGGCAGGATGGTCTCGATCTCCTGACCTCATGATCCGTCCACCTCGGCCTTCCAAAGTGCTGTGATTACAGGCGTGAGCCACTGTGCCCGGCCTCAATATATACCTATTCTCTTATCTACTGTTCCCTTTCTCATTTCTGCACATTTCTTTGTATTTATTTTATAACACCTATGGTACCTAGTAATATTTCTGTTACAAGAAAAAGAGAATCAGGTTTTGAGGTGTAAAGGTACCAGATAACTCCTCTGGTTCGTGCTGCATGTTTGAAGAGTAGAGCTGTAGTGGCATCCCAGCATTTAGGCTTCCAGGCCAATGCTCTTGTCATCCCAAGTTGGTCTTAGAAGTATCAGCCTATTGATAAAACTCCTTGAATGAAATTTTATCCCGGAATTGAGAGGGTAACTTTAAATCACTTAATTGTTCTGGTGTTTTCTCTAGCCCTGTTCTCTTTGGTCACCCATATTGATGATAGAATGCCACTTGTAAAGTACATCTTAAGCACCCTCTTCCTAGTTAAATCTCACCCACAATAACTACTGTGCATAAACATATCATGTAAAGATATACCTAATATTTGCTAAGGTGTTATGTCTTAGCTGAAAAAACTGCTATAACAAATGTTTGCTGAATAAATGCCATAAATATATTCAATAAAAAAACTATATCCTCAAAGTAAATGAATGAATAAATAAATATCCATATATCTACATCATATTCATAGGCTGTTTCATTCGTACCTTTATTTTTTAAATACAATAAAATTATGCTTCATTATACTCAAGTATAATCTCTTTACTGGAGTGAATGTATTCTGTTCAAGTTTTACTTTAACAATTGTATTATTTATCTTAACATTTAGCCAGTAATAAAGTACAAAGTGGGAAGTGGGCTGCAGTTTTATACATCTTGCACAAAACACCCCCTTCCTACGAACACACACACTCAGAGAGAGAGAGGAGAGATGCACTTGTTCTTCAACTTAGCTCTCTTATTTTTCTATTCCAAAATAGTTTATCTTTCACCTGTTCTAAATTATTTTCCTTATAACTTATTTATACCTGCTAAGTTCTGTACCAAGCAGAAGTTAGATCTGTAATTTCTGTGCTAATCAGAGTTGGATACTAGCAGTAGCCTGGGGGTCTTGAGCAAATAGTGTGCCTCAGAGATGATTTGTGGCAGCAGGTGCTCGCCCTCCAGGTAGGGTCATCAGGAGTGGGAGGCCCATCAGAAGTGCATTGTTGCCGCGTGGGAATGTGGGCTGGTGTTGCCAGATTTTCTGATTTTTCACTGTAAGCCAGAAATCTGGATTATTGTGTGAAATCTGATTTTAAAGGTTGGCTAA